TTTTTCGTCAAAATTTTGTCCCAGTTTTCGTACATCTGCTCGGTTTTCGTTGAGTTGAAAATGGTCCGTACCAAACGCATCCACGTGACTCAGTCACTAAAGCACCCACACAAACTATACCATGCGTTCGTGACTCAGACGTGCAGGGTGAGCATCACCCTGCACGTTCATCCGAAATATTTCGTAATAATCCGTTGTTTTTTGTGCTTGTTTATTGAGTGCGATTGCTAAATAAGCCACCATGGGGCCAAAGGACGTTCCAAGTGCCAGCCCTTTGATAAAGAAGAAGGCAAGAAACACAAGAGAATTCAAGAAAGAATTTGTAGCAAAGTACGAAAGTGGTGTACGAGTGGCCGATCTCGCCAGAATGCACGGGAAGTCCACATCAATGATCAGTTCCATCCTGGCTAAGAAAAAAAAAAATCAAGGAAGCTGATGTTGCGAAAGGGGTAAATGTGCTAATGAAACAGAGATCGCAAACAACTGAAGATGGTGAGTTGTTGTTGGTGTGGATCAACGAAAAACAGTTAGCGAGAGACAGTGTTTTGGAGGCAATAACTTGCAAAAAGGCAAGGCACTTGCATACGGATCTCGCAAAGAAAATGCCTGGAACGAGTGCTGCTGTTAGCGAACTTAAGGCCAGCAAAGACTGGTTCGACAAATTCAAGAAGCGAACTGGCATACACAGTGTGGTAAGACATGGCAAGGCTGCAAGTTCGGACAAACATGAGGCCAAAGAATTTGTTGATGAATTCAAGGAGTGTGTAGAGGCTTAAGGATTCCTCCCCCAATAAGTCTTCAATTGTGATGAAACAGGCCTCTTTTTGAAGAAAATTGCCAAAGAGGATCTACATCACACAGCAGGAAAAGGCCCTGCCAGAACACAAGCCTATGAAGGATAGGCTAATTCTTTTGTTCTCTGGTAACACTAGTGGGGATTTCGAAGTGAAGCCTTTACTGGTGTATCACTCTGAAAATCCCCGAGTGTTCAAGAAAAACAATGTCATCAAGAGTAAATTGTGTGTGATGTGGAAGGCTAACAGTAAGGCATAGGTCACGAGGCAAATTTTCATTGAGTGGGTCAATGAAGTGTTTGGTCCCAGTGTGAAGAAATACCTCCTGGAAAATCAATTACCACTCAGGTGCCTCCTGGTAACAGACTGCTCCTGCTCATCCTCCAGACTTGGAAGACCAATTGTTGGAGAAGTTTAGTTTCATCACAGTGAAGTTCTTGCCTCCTTATACCACTCCTCTCATCCAGGCCATGGACCAGCAATTCATTTCAAATTTCAAAAACTCTACACCAAAGCACTGTTTCAAAGGTGCTTTGAAGTGACCTTGGACACTGAATTGACCCTAAGAGAGTTCTGGAGGAATCACTTAAATATCTTCAACTGCATAAGCCTTATAGATAAGGCTTGGCAGGGAGTGACTTCTAGGACAATGAACTCTGCTTGGAGAAAATTGTGGCCAGAATGTGTCCACAAGAAGGACTTTGAAGGGTTTGAGGCTGACCCTGACGACCCTACGCCTATTGTGGAATCTACTGTGTCTGTGGAGAAGTCCATGGGGTTGGATGTGTGTGGCCAGGATGTGGAAGAGTTGGTGGATGACCACAGGGAAGAGCTAACCACTGAAGAGCTGCAAGACCTTCAACTGGAACAGCAACAGACCACAGCTGAGTAAACTGTTTCAGAGGAGGAGGAAAAGAGAGGGGAGAATATACCTTCTTCAGTGATTAAGGATGTGTGTGCAAAGTGGAGTGAGTGGCAAAGTTTTGTGGAGAAATATCACCCTAACAATGCTGTTGCAAGCCGAGTCTACAACACATTCAATGACAACGCCTCTTCCCATTTTAGGTAAATCTTAAGGAGATGCCAGAAACAGACCTCTCTTGACAGATTTTTTGTGCTACAGGGGTACACTGACTCTCAAGCTGGTCCTAGCGCCAGTAAAAGACAAAGAAGGGAAGTCACCCCGGATAAGGCCTGGATACCTGAAGTCCTTATGGAAGGAGATTTCCCTTCCAAACAATACCCTCTCCTCTCCTTGCCATCTTCCATACACCAACAAGAATCTTCAATAAAGGTAAAAGTGATGTTAAATGTTCATTTATCCATTTCGTTAGTCATTTATATTTATTTCTCATTGTTTTCTATATGTAAAACTATAGTTATTATCTATAAAATGCATTTTTTGTTAATATTTTTGGGTGTCTGGATCGGATTAATTGGATTTACATTATTTATGGGAAATATTGCTTTCGGATGGATTTATGAAGGATGAGGTTAATCATAGAATTGATGAGGGAAAAAAGGCGAGTGGTGCGTTGAGGTATATGTGGAGTCAAAAAACGTTATCTATGGAGGCAAAGAAGGGAATGTATGAAAGTATAGTAGTACCAACACTCTTATATGGATGTGAAGCTTGGGTGGTAAATGCAGCAGCAAGGAGACAGTTGGAGGCAGTGGAGATGTCCTGTCTAAGGGCAATGTGTGGTGTAAATATTATGCAGAAAATTCGGAGTGTGGAAATTAGGAGAAGGTGTGGAGTTAATAAAAGCATTAGTCAGAGGGCAGAAGAGGGGTTGTTGAGGTGGTTTGGTCATTTAGAGAGAATGGATCAAAGTAGAATGACATGGAAAGCATATAAATCTATAGGGGAAGGAAAGAGGGGTAGGGGTCGTCCTCGAAAGGGTTGGAAAGAGGGGGTAAAGGAGGTTTTGTGGGCGAGGGACTTGGACTTCCAGCAAGCGTGCATGAGCGTGTTAGATAGGAGTGAATGGAGACGAATGATACTTGGGACCTGACAATCTGTTGGAGTGTGAGCAGGGTAATATTTAGTGAAGGGATTCAGGGAAACCGGTTATTTTCTTATAGTCGGACTTGAGTCCTGGAAATGGGAAGTAAAATGCCTGCACTTTAAAGGAGGGGTTTGGGATATTGGCAGTTTGGGGGGATATGTTGTGTATCTTTATACGTATATGCTTCTAAACTGTTGTATTCTGAGCACCTCTGCAAAAGCAGTGATAATGTGTGAGTGTGGTGAAAGTGTTGAATGATGATGAATATTTTCTTTTTGGGGATTTTCTTTCTTTTTTGGGTCACCCTGCCTCGGTGGGAGACGACCAACTTATTGAGAAAAAAAAAAAAAATTGCTTCAGTTTTTGTACGAGTTGATTTTCATCAGACTTTTTAGAACAAATTAATCAGGAAAACTGAGGTTCCACTGTAAATCTATCAGTGTGTTGAACATTCTTTTAATATGCTAAAATGCTTCAATGAAATTGTCAAGAAAGGCAGAGAAGATGCAATTACACTACTGAAATGCTGTGCAAAATATCTAAGCTTTCATTTTGAAAACAGTTCATCATACTGTTATGCAAACATAATTATCCGTCTTACATCAGAAATGCTTTGGCCAGTCACCAGTCATCTTCAGCTGTGAGTTTGTTATACCTACTAGCACCCACATTAAAAGCTAAAAATTTTGGGTGAAAACTATCCAGGAACATTAAAAGTAAATACACAGAGCGAAAAAAGGCACATTATTACGTATGATAGGCCCTGGTAAAGTACCAAAGATCTGAAATGTGATTTTTAGTTAAAAATGATACTGTACTTCATATTTTTGTCTAAATATATTTCCCAGCGATACACAATGGCTTTAATAAATCTCAATCTCAAAGTACACATACAGAAACCCTACATCTGAAGATTTTGATTCAAAACTCAAAATGTTAAAAAGGTAAACTTGCAACACAAAACAGTCACTACCAGATAATTCATCTCTTGACGCATTGTTAAATTTTAATGAAATCCTTGTTTAAAAGGGAAAGTAATCAACATACAGCAAAGCCTAGATTAGTACGAATTTCAATAGTAAGAAATTCAGTCTATTTTGAATTATAAAATGACACCAGACCTGCCCACCCATTGTCAGTATGGCTCTGCCTGTTATGTAAATACATGCTGCAGCTTGTTATCCTATACGTGTTTACAGTATTATATCAGGTTTTAAATTTTGATAAACTGCCCTTAGTAAATATGGACAAAAGGAAGAATACTTACAGTGCAAATAATGCAAATGCAAAAAAGAAGAGGCTTGTTATTACATTAGCATCTCTTCAAGTCTTTACGGCAGTGGAAGAAAATGGAGTTCATGTGGAAACAGAAGAAACTTTTAATGCAAGCAATGGTTGGTTTGACAATTTTAGAAATAGAATTAAACTGCATTATTGAACTGCTGAGTCTGCCAGTGCAGATAAAGAAGCTGCTTCTTAAGTTCAAGCTGTTGTTGAAGAAATAGAGAGACCTTGGAAGGCGGCTTGGTTTCCATGAACTGAACTCTACAAATGTCCGCAACTTGCTTGAATCACGCCCCGAAGAAATAACTAATGGAGACCTTAATTTAGATCAACAATTTAATGTACAATGCCTGCACTTTACAGGAGGGGTTTGGGATACTGGCAGTTTGGAGGGACATCTAAACTGTCATATCTGAGGATCTCTGCAAAGACAGTGATTATGTATGAGTGATGGTGAAAGTGTTTAATGATGCTGAAAGTTTTTTTCTTTCCTTTTGGGTCACCCTGTCTTGGTGGGAAACAGCTGACGTGTAAAAAAATATAATAAACTTGACTAAAAAATGCATTTTTATTATCCTATAGCAATATGTTAAAAATTTTCATTGCATACTGTATTTTCATTGGAATGGGACCAATTACAATAATTCATGTGTTATAACTGCCTCAAATAATACAAATTTGATTAATGTGATCTTTAATGGGATTCATTAATTGTACTAATCGAGGCTTTGCTGTACATTGGTACCTGTGCTCATCTGGAGAGGCAGCTAGTCAGTAACTAGACAGAGCAAAAATTATTTATTATTTAATGAATAATTTAATATACAAGTGGTTCTGGTACTGTATCAATATTCATACTAAAATATATGATCTACAGCACTATAATTATTTAAAGAATGAATGCAGCACACACCTCCTGGAAGAGTCTAGAAATTTCACAGACCAAGCAGCGTGTTGCATCATTATTAAACTGACAAACATGCTTGTCAGAAAGGAAGTAGTCTCTAAGCAGTGGCGTGTGCGTCAAGGCCTGGATGATGCAGCTCATGAAGCATGTGTTACCTAGATTGATTAAGCCACGAAGCCCTGATGGAAGAGATGAAAAAAAATTCTGTATCAAAATTTACTCACAAATATTTAGAGAGAAAATAATTATGATACAAATTTATACATTAGTTCTTTTAAATAATTATATTATCCTGCAAAATCTACTGTACTTATTAGTTTCCATGATATGATTGGATTAAAAATCATGCAACTCTGAAGCATACCCTTCCAAAAACAATCATTATTCGATTAATAAAAATGATTTGACCTAATACAGATTCTATCTTGTACACCAAGTCTTCCGAAGTACATTATTGCAAGTAATTTCAATATCTGCAATATTAAGTGAATTAAACTACTTCAGCCTTGATCCTTATTTATAAATCAGTGATCATATTCAAATCTTTCCTAAATATATACAAAATGTTTGATTTTAGGTTGCCCCCTCACCAAAATCTTTTCACTATTACTGCAACTGCTCCACAAAGATCCACACACTATTTTGTAAAAAAGACCCATCTTCTTCAGTAGGGATGATAAGATTGCAATCCATCAATTTTAATTATCTGCAATATAGCAAATTATCTGGCAAAACAAGTTAAAATATAACGGGAGCCATTAAATGTGAACTGAGATCATTTAATTTCAAGACAAACAATTCAGTCACATTATGATCAATGAAAATTTGTACTAGAGTAATAGCACACATCCCAAAGCCAAGTACGGTGCTGCACTCTGCATGTGCAGTCCTTGATTGTAATGGCCTTTATAAGCTCAAAACACACTCTTGAAACACAGTCTAAATGCAGCCTATTATAAATAATCAATAAGTCAGGGGCAGATTTATATTGTGCAAAAACGATGAAAAATTTAAATACACAATATGAATGCATGCTCAGTAACTCAGGACTGCCCATCAAAGAGGTTGTAACAGCTCTCTCCAGTGCTAGTGTAATAAGCAGCAGACAGCAATCATCCCTATGATCAAGCGTGGCATTTTGTGATCAATTCGTATCAATTTTTTTTCCACATGTCAAAGAACCAACTATACTTAACATATAGACCTTTTTCAATGCCTTTGAAAAGAAAAATTTGCCTTATGAAATAAACATCAGGAATGGCTGCAGTCTTCTACCTGATATTCAACAATTAAGACATGTGATACATTTACAGGAGTCACACCCCAAGAGCTCGGTAATTACTGTTAGTCTTGAGACCACAATGCTTTTTAAAATAAACAATTTAGTTACACTTAATGATGACAAGCATTTCACTGCACGGTCAATTAACTTTGATGGTAACAGAGCCAAGACAAACCTATGGTTGAATTTGCAGCAGGTCTTCGTCTTTTGGGATGAGCTTGAAGTAGAGTCATTTCTACTGCATCTGGTTCCCATGCTCTGTACTGTGTGTCCAACCCAAGTGATCGGCGGAACTTTTCCTTGCAGGCCTGCGCAATGCGGCCAACCTCCAAGTCATAAACATAATCACCACACGCCATACACAAAATTTGACCTTGCTCTACATCCACAACTGTAATATTATAGTACAAATATTATTAAAAAAAAAAAAAAGCAACGTACAGAAATCCTAACAAGATCTTTATTTACGTCAAACAAGCATATGAAAGTAATAAAACCCTTCAAATCATTTTTTTTAACAAAATGTATACGGCTAACAAAAATTATCCTAAGTTCTACAGTATGTATGTTTCAAAGTTTCCCTTACAATTCAGAAAACATACCAACCTAGATTGTGTTGCATGGAGGTTGAATGATCTTGAATATGGCCCTGATAACATGCAAAATGAACACAGTGTAAGCAGGCGTGAAGCCTGGGACTGTGATTGCCACATACTGAGCACACACACCATTTTGCCTGCAATACAAATCAGACAAATCAGTTTTAATCACAGTTCCAGCTGACCCCGACAATATGGTCAATAAAAGGTATAGGTATGGATGATAAACACAATACAGAAAAGAAATGAGAAAAATATAAGAGAATAGTGGTATCAACAATATTAAATGGGAGTGAGCTATGGATTGTAAATGTTGCAGCAAGGAGGTTGGAGGCTGTAGAGATATGATGTCAGAGTAAAGAGTGGTATGACTATTATGCAAAGAATTCAAAGTATACAAATAAGATGGAGCGGGGGTTTCCAAAAGTACAATTCAGACAGCTGGGGAGTTACTGAAGTGGCTTGGACATTTAGAGAAGGATCAGTACAAGATGACCAAGACAGTACATAAATCTGGGATGTAAGGAAGGAGGGATGAAAGTTTCTCCCAGGAAGAGTTGAAGGAGGCAGGCAGGTAGAGGAAGTTTAGAGTCCCAGGAACCTCAGCATCCAGCAGATGTATGGAAGCATGTTAGATTATAGACTAAAATGCTGAGAGCATGGGGGCTAGTAAAACCTTCTCCTGTATAAATTACTAAATGTAAAAAGAAATTTTTTTTTTTCTTTTTAGACCACCCCGCCTTGGTGGGATACAGCCAGTGTGTCATATGAGGCGACTAAAATGCCAGGAGCAATGGGCTAGTAACCCCTTCTCCTGTAGAAAAATACTAAATAAGAGAAGAAAAACTTTATAAAACTGGGATGCTTGAATGTGCGTGCACGTAGTGCATACGATAAGAAAAAAATTATTCCTAATGTTATGAATGAAAAGAAATTGGATGTCCTAGCTCTGAGCGAAACAAAGCTGAAGGGGAAAGGCGAGTTTCAATGGGGAAAAATAAATGGGATTAAGTCAGGAGTATCTGAGAGAATTAGAGCTAAGGAAGGGGTAGCAATAATGTTGAAGGATCAGTTATGGAAGGAGATGAGGGAATATAAATGCATAAATTCAAGGATTATGTGGATTAAAATAAGGGTCAGATGCAAAAAGTGGGTCATAATAAGTGTGTATACACCTAGAAAAGAGAGGAGTGTAGAGGAGAGAGATTTTGGGAGATGTTAAGGGAGTGTGTAGGAACTTTTGAACCAAGTGAGAGAGTAACTGTGGTAAGGGACCAAAATGCTAAAGTTGGAGGAGGAGTAGGGTGTGGTAGGTAAGTTAGGGGTGCCTGGTGTAAATGATAATGGGGGCCCTTTGATTGAACTTTGCATAGGAAGGAGTTTGGTTATGGGTAATACACAGTTTAAGAAAAAGAGGATAAATAAGTATACAAGATATGATGTAGGGCATAATGACAGTAGTTTGTTGGACTATGTATTGGTTGATAAAAGACTTGGGTAGAATTCAAGATGAACATGTTAATAGAGGGGGCCACAGATATAGCAGATCGCTTTTTTAGTTGTAGCTACAGTGAGAGTAAAAGGTAGATGGGATACAAGGAAAATGGAAGCAGCAGGTAAGAGAGAGGTGAAGGTTTATAAGATAGAGGAGGAGGCAGTTAGGGTAAGATATAAACAACTACTGGAGGATAGATGGGCGAGTGAGAGTATAGGCAATGGGATTGAAGATGTATGGGGTAAGTTAAGAATGTAGTGTTAAAGGGTTCAGCAGAAGTTTGTGGTTATAGAAAAGTGAGTGTGGGAAGGAAGAAGAGCGATTGGTGGAATGATGATGTAAAGAGAGAAGTAAGAGAAAAAGTTAGCATATGAGAGTTGTTTACAAGTAAAAGTGATGCCAGGAGGGAGTAGTACATGGAGAGGAAAAGAGGTTAAGAGAGTGGTGAAGAGAGAGCAAATGAGAGTGGGTGAGATATTATCAACAAATTTTGTTGAAAATAGGAAAAAGTTTTGGAGTGAGATTAATAAGTTGAAGAAGCCTAGGAAATGAATAGATCTGACAGTTAAAAAATAGGAAAGGAGAGTTATTAAATGAAGAGTTAGAGGTAACAGGAAGATGGAGGAAATATTTTTAGGAATTGTTAAATATTGATGAAGATAAGGAAGCTGTGATTTCGTGTATAGGGCAAGGACGAATAACACCTTGTAGGAGTGAGTTGTGAGTGTGGGGGAAGTTTGTGAGGTGGGGGGTAGAATGAAAGGGGGTAAGGCAGCTGGGACTGATGGGATAAAGATAGAAATGTTAAAAGCAGGTGGGGATATAACTCTAGAGTGGTTGGTGCTTATATTTAATAAATGTATGGAAGAGGGTAAGGTACCTAGGGATTGGCAGAGAGCATGCATAGTTCCTTTGTATAAAGGAAAAGGGGACAAAAGAGTGCAAAAATTAAGGGGAATAAGTATACTGAGTATACTTGGTAAAGTGTATGGTAGAGTTATTATTTAAAGAATCAGGAGTAAGACAGAGTAGGATAGTAGATGAACAAGGCGGCTTTAGGAAAGGTACGGGATGTGTAGACCAAGTGTTTACAGTGAAACATATAGATGAACAATATTTAGATAAGGATAAAGAGGGTTTTGTGGTATTTATGGATTTGAGAAAAGCGTATGACAGGGTGGATAGGGGGGATGTGGCAGATGCTGCAAATGTATGGAATAGGAGGTAGGTTACTGAAAGCAGTGAAGAGTTTTTATGAGGATAGTGAGGCTCAGGTTAGAGTATGTAGGAGAGAGGGAGATTATTTCCAAGTAAAAGTAGGCCTTAGACAAGGATGTGTGATGTCACTATGGTTGCTCAGTATATTTATAGATGGGATTGTAAGAGAAGTGAATGCTCGGGAGTTGGCAAGAGTTGTGGGGTTAAAAGATAAAGAATAACACAAAGTGATAGTTTTCACAGTTGCTCTTTTTTGATGACACTGTGCTTTTGAGAGATTCTGAAGAGAAGTTGCAAAGGATGGCAGATGAGTTTGGTAGGGTATGTAAAAGAAGAAATGGCTTATGGAGGAAGAATTCTGTTCCACTTTGCCATGGAGATAAACAAGAACAAGCAAAAAATAGAAGAAAAGCCAGAGGGGTGTGTATACATATGCATGTGTAGTGTCCTAAGTAGAAGTAGCATGATGTACCTGAAATCTTGCATGTTTACGAGACAGAAAAAAGACATCAGCAATCCTACCATCATGTAAAACAATTACGGGTTTCGTTTTAGACTCCCTTGGCAGGACAGTCGTACCTCCCTCGACAGTTGCTGTCTACCAACCTACATGTGTGTGCACTCACCTAATTGTAGTTGCAGGGGTCGAGACTCAGCTCCTGGCCCCACCTCTTCACTGAACGCTACTAGGTCCTCTGTCTCCCTGCTCCATGAGATTCATCATACATCGTCTTAAAGCTACGTATGGTTCCTGCCATATGTAGCTTTAAGACTGTTCCACTTCCTGACCACTCTATGACTGAAGAAATGCTTCCTAACATCCCTGTGGGTTATCTGAGTCTTCAACTTCCAGGAGTGACCCCTTGTTTCTGTGTCCCCCTCTGGAACATCTTGTCTCTGTCCACCTTGTCTATTCCACGCAGTATTTTGGATGTCGTTATCATGTCTCCCCTATCCCTCCTGTCCTCCAGTGTCGTCAGGCTGATTTCCCTCAACCTTTCTTCATAGGACATTCCTCTTAGCTCTGAAACTAACCTTGTGTTCGTGTGTGTGTGTGTGTGTTCGTGTGTGTTTGTGTGTTCGTGCGTGTTTGTGTGTGTGTGAATATGTGCTCGCCTAACTGTGGTTGCAGGGGTCGAGACTCGGCTCCTGGCCCTGCCTCTTCACTGGTCGCTACTAGGTCCTCTAACTCCCTGCTCCATGAGCTTTATCACACCTTGTCTTAAAATTATGTGTGGTTCATGCTTCCACTACATCACTTGCCAGACTATTCCACTTTCTGACAACTTTATGACTTAAGAAATACTTCTTAATATCCCTTTGACTCATCTGTGCAGTGTGTGTGTGTGTGTGTGTGTTTTATAAATACTATAGTTTAAGTTATATAAATATTACAATAGTGTACGTTATTACAATAGTGTACATTATATAATTACAATAGTGTTCGTTATAGTATAAATATTACAGTAGTGTACATTATATAAATATTACAATAGTGTATGTTACATAAATATTACAATATTATACATTATATAATTACAATATTGTACGTTACATAAATATTACAATATTGTACATTATGTAATATTGCAACAGTTTACGTTCTTCAACTCTATATATCTTTGGTTAGGCCTCATTTAGATTATATTGTGCAGTTTTGGTCACCGTATTACAGAATGGATATAAAATGTACTGGAAAACGTACAAAGGAGGATGACAAAGTTGATCCCATGTATCAGAAATCTTCCCTATGCGGATAGACTGAAGGGCCCTGAATCTGCAGTCTAGAAAGGCGTAGAATTAGGGGGGATATGATTGAGGTGTATAAAGGAAAAGCAGGCATTAATAAAGGGGATGTAAATAGCATGCTAAAAATATCTAACAGACAGGACTCACAGCAATGGTTTTAAATTGGAAAAATTCAGATTCAGGAAGGATATAGAAAAGCACTGGTTTGGTAACAGAGCTGTGGATGTGTGGAACAAACTCCCTAGTACCGTCATAGAAGCTAAGATGATGTGTTGTTTTAAAAACAGGATAGATAAATACACGAGTGGGTGTGAGTTGGACCTGATTAGCTTGTGCTACTAGGTCGGATGCTGTGCTCCTCCCTTAAGTGAGGTGTCTGACCTCACTAGGTCAAGGCATTGGCTTAAGAAGGTGGGAGAATTAGACCTACCTCACATAGGCCTGTTGCAGTGTTCCTTCTTTATGTTCTTATTAGTGTACGTTATACAAGCGTTACAATAGCGTACGTTATACAAGCGTTACAATAGCGTACGTTATACAAGCGTTACAATAGCGTACGTTATACAAGCGTTACAATAGCGTACGTTATACAAGCGTTACAATAGCGTACGTTATACAAGCGTTACAATAGCGTACGTTATACAAGCGTTACAATAGCGTACGTTATACAAGCGT